TATATACATAAAATAAATAGTTGTACAAAAAGGATTTAATGATAATTACATACATTTCATGAAGTTAGTCCTCTGGAAAGAATAAAGGTCTAACTACCCTTGAACTATGTAGAAGCGTTTATATTCCTTTATTGTATGTTTGAAAAAATATATATAAAATAAATATTTGTACTTGAATTGAAGCACTTTAAATACAAATTGCAGGAAGTGTCAGCTCATTTAACTGATCATGTAGCAAGGGTAGGTAATGTACAAAAATTAATGATGTTTATGTTCGAAAACGACGGATTTACCCTCTGATTTAACATGTTCGTGTCTCCATTGGGAGCTGGTTGCAGGTTCATGATGATGGGATTCGTGCTTGGTCTCTTCATGATGGTATTCTTTCTTGACTGATTCAACTTGTTCGTGTCTCCATTGGGAGCTGGTTGCAGGTTCGTGATGATGGGATTCATGTTTCTCTTCATGGTGGTATTCTTTCTTGACTGGAACTTCAATTTTGATAGAAATGGGCTCTTCATGCTTTACGATCTTCTCCTTTCTCCATTCGCTGACTTTGGCAGACGAGGTTTCTTTCTTGGTTGGGTGAGCGACAGCTACAGCCAATAAGGCAGCTAAAACCAATAACTTGAACATTTTGAATGATATTAGTTTGTGTTGCTTAGAGAAATGCAAAAACAAAACTGATAATTGATGGTGGTTTTTTGTGACTTTTATATTAAAAATTATATTTAAAATATAGAACATAATTAACTACTTTCCGTCAAAACTTTAAACGCATTAGCCGCCGACATAATTGTTCACTTTTGTATGTACTGTAGTATATTGTAGTAATTACTGTTTAATGAGTTTTGCTATTTCATCGGTGTTCTGTTAAGCTTAGCACGCCGACAGTAAGATTAACGCAAATTAATTAAATTATTGTAAGGGTTTCGGTAGTTCTGATGATTTATAGTATGTTTATATTTACATATATTTAAGAAGAAAATGACAGTTAATATTTTCCATGAACTCAATTTTGGGATGATAGGTTGATTTTTAATTGCTTAAACTANATGTTACACCTTGTATAGTTCTCATGCTGCAATTAGAACGTTTTTTACTTTTAAGTGAGAATGATTTAATAGATACATATGCAAATTTGTGTTTTTAAACTTACTCGTATCCAGTTATTTAGGTTTACATATTTTACAATATCTATTCATACTTTGGAAAAAATTATATTTTTACCCGACTGCGTCACACGGAAGGTTATGTTATTCGAGTGCATGTATTTGTTACCGGAAATGTATGAAATGTAGAAATTTTATGCAATTCCTAGGAAATTCATACAATTAAAAAATCTTTGAAACAATATTTTATACATTTCCTAGGAATTGTATACAATTCCTACATTTCATACATTTCTGGTAACACATTCTGTTTCGTGGCTCCGTCGGTGGAGAATAAATTTGTGAGACTGTGTATGCGTTTAGAACTTTATTTAACATTTAAACAGTAACAAAAGGATAGTGCTACATGTGAGTCCTATGAAGTTGGACACAGTACTGCCTGCCCTTTCCCGACCCAAACCAATAAAAGCTTTTCCGCTCATAGAAACAGGTAACCGGTTGCTTGGCGAGACAGGTAAAAAATAAATTGAGAAGTTCATAGATCTAGTGACTAAATGCATTAAACACATTCATATATTTGTTGGCACACTCTGTAGTCTACAGGGCTTGACGGATTTTAGCTTGAGAGGTGTCATGAGATTAATCTTAATTGCGAGAATGACAATAGGTACATCAAAATTATAAAAATTAAAATGACCGATTTTTGGCACCATATTATGATTTAAAAAAACCTTCACATGCGACACTATGTACAAAAAAACGAAATATTGACTCAAAAGTTTCCTTTGATCTTTTGACAAATCTTTTCAACAAAATGAAGAAACGAGAGAGATTTGGTTTAGGAAATATGCCTTTTTATGTCCCTATGTGCTGACTTTAATTCTGCACATACCCTACAATAAAGGGAGTAATGGAAGCTGAATTTTAAGATTGATAAGAACTGATATCAACGTTTTGAAGAAATATCGTTATCGCAAGTTGTATACATTTCTTACTGGGGTGATTAAGGATGAGTCTATATTTAATATTTGACTGATTCCTTAAATGAATGTTTTGCCTGCTTATTTATGAAATGTTGGAGGTTGTTGAAGTAGACAGTAGATTGTAGCATAGATTCAGGAATATTTTACTGGTGGCGTTGCAGGTACCGATTGGAAGAAAATAACTTTTTACAAAATAAAATTCTTTTTACATCGAAAGTTATTCTTGGAGATACCACGGATATAATACCAACACAAAACAATAATTAAGATATCAACTGAATAAATAAATAGGGAATTTTAAAAGACATAAATAATTTTTTTACACAAACACAGACAGGACATTCATTCAGAAAAGCAAACAAATGTCATAGCTGCACATTAGATACCAGTATTAAATACCTGCCTAATAAACAGCCACCATGAGAGATTGATATTAAATATAAACATTGAAAAGAAAACGAATTTATATTATTATATCATCTCGAACTACAAGAAAATCTTAATTCTTGCAAAATTTCCAACCCTGCATTGCAATTTTCCTAAACGTTAACTACTTTTGAAATCGTCACTGCTTTCGGAAATGCCTAGGCAATGTTTTGCGTTAGGTTTTTTTGTTAATAATAATCCATAAGACAAACATAGCTGTTGGCTATTCGTATACCCAATAAGTGTATCTCTACGGATAAAGAATGTTGTTTTGACTGACTGATGATCAACGCACAACCGAAACGATTGGGTCAATTATTTAGATTAGAATTAGCCAATTCTGACAATTACATAGGGCTAACTAATGGTCCATTTGGCGGAAATCACATTGTAAAGGGTTGAAACAAAGCAAGGCGTTTCTTAAAAATCTCAAAACAATAGTCGAGTCCGCTCTCGTTTAATGACGTTTGTTCTCCGATTTTTTATTAGAATNCTAGACGGAATGTATTTTTTCTTGATTCGACAGTTATTTTGTTGTAAACTAATTTTGTAACTTTTTACAAAATAAAATTCTTTTTACATCGAAAGTTATTCTTGGAGATACCACGGATATAATACCAACACAAAACAATAATTAAGATATCAACTGAATAAATAAATAGGGAATTTTAAAAGACATAAATAATTTTTTTACACAAACACAGACAGGACATTCATTCAGAAAAGCAAACAAATGTCATAGCTGCACATTAGATACCAGTATTAAATACCTGCCTAATAAACAGCCACCATGAGAGATTGATATTAAATATAAACATTGAAAAGAAAACGAATTTATATTATTATATCATCTCGAACTACAAGAAAATCTTAATTCTTGCAAAATTTCCAACCCTGCATTGCAATTTTCCTAAACGTTAACTACTTTTGAAATCGTCACTGCTTTCGGAAATGCCTAGGCAATGTTTTGCGTTAGGTTTTTTTGTTAATAATAATCCATAAGACAAACATAGCTGTTGGCTATTCGTATACCCAATAAGTGTATCTCTACGGATAAAGAATGTTGTTTTGACTGACTGATGATCAACGCACAACCGAAACGATTGGGTCAATTATTTAGATTAGAATTAGCCAATTCTGACAATTACATAGGGCTAACTAATGGTCCATTTGGCGGAAATCACATTGTAAAGGGTTGAAACAAAGCAAGGCGTTTCTTAAAAATCTCAAAACAATAGTCGAGTCCGCTCTCGTTTAATGACGTTTGTTCTCCGATTTTTTATTAGAATTATAGTCCTTAAATTAAATTTATATATCGCATATACTGAGGGTGAAGCTGCTAACAGAATAGATGTATTTTAATGAAAGGTGCGGAACTATAAACATAAAAAGTTCGTTTTAGTTTGCCAAATCTGTTAAACAAATTAAACCGAAGATAGTTTGAATTGTTGATTTTCTTTTATACATATTATTCTCCTTATCATATAGCACAATATAGCTACTCCTCTAATGACAACAATACTTCGATTCGTCGAATTGAGTACTAAGTAAAAATGTAATTAGACACATAAGGAATAATTATAGGTACAAGTAACAGTTAGTCTAATTTTATTTTAACGCCGTTACCGACGTTGCTTTCATAAAATCGCACTATTGATAGTACCAACCAGGAAATGACCTTCTTTAAACAAATTTTGATATAAAAGTCACAAAAAACGACTGTTTATTATCAGTTTCGTTTTTGCTCTTCTCTAAGCAACACAAACTAATCTCATTCAAAATGTTCAAGTTATTTGTTTTAGCTGCCTTATTGGCCGTAGCTGTCGCTCACCCAACCAAGAAAGAAACCTCGTCTGCCAAAGTCAGCGAATGGAGAAAGGAGAAGATCGAAAAGCACGAAGAGCCCATTTCTATCAAAATTGAATTTCCAGTCAAGAAAGAATACCATCACCATGAAGAGAAACACGAAGAGACAAAACACGAATCCCATCATCACGAACCTGCAACCAGCTCCCAGTGGAGACACGAGCATGTTAAATCAGAGGGTAAATCCGTCGTTTTCGAACATAAACACCATTAATTTTTGTACATTACCTACCCTTGCTACATGATCAGTTAAATGAGCTGACACTTCCTGCAATTTGTATTTAAAGTGCTTCAATTCAAGTACAAATATTTATTTTATATATATTTTTTCAAACATACAATAAAGGAATATAAACGCTTCTACATAGTTCAAGGGTAGTTAGACCTTTATTCTTTCCAGAGGACTAACTTCATGAAATGTATGTAATTATCATTAAATCCTTTTTGTACAACTATTTATTTTATGTATATACGATGATTGTCAAAAGTGTAACTTGTATGATTTAAAAATGTATAACGATGTAAGCAATTTGTATCAAAGATTTTTGTAAAATAATTTTAATTAAAAGAAAAATTGTTACATTAAACACTAAATTAAAATTAAAGGTTTTTGTTTACATATAATTTTTTTATTGCTCTGAACACCCACAATTAAATGTGAATATATTTCACAATTTCATAAGAAAAATAAAAAACAAGCAACATGTCATACCATCAAATACTATAATATTTTCTTTATNTATTGCCAGCTGATGCTATATTTTCTTTATTTGAATATCTTTTTTTATTTCAGCAAATTATATTCTCAGTTCACTCTCGTGTAAAATAATTACAGGTTATGATTTATTCAACATTTACAATAATAGCTATTCAGTCTCATACCATTTTTACAGCCATGCGCAGATACTATTCACGAAGCTAATAGTCTAGTTTTCGGAAGGAAATGGTCCATACAGTATTTTCGATGTTTTTCGTAATACAAACGGTACAAACATACACTAATTTAAATAACATAATTAGGTACAACATCATTAAAGACAATATAACTGTAGGGATAGATATAGAGGGGCAAAAGATTAGTATGCTTAGACTTGCAGATGATAGCGGTATTGACAAAACAGTATTGAATGAAAATAAATAAAAGTAAAATAAAAATACTGATACACAAGCGAAGAAAGGGTAAGGAAGAAGCGAATATAAAGATAGCAAACGAATAATTATAAGAAGTGGCTGATCTTAGGTATCTAGGAATTCAGATAAGTTAGGACGGAAGGAATAGTAGGGACATAGAGGAGAGGATAGGGTAGGATCTAGTCGCCTTTAATAAAAAGAAGTCACGGTTAATTTAGAAATTTGAAGAGGATTGTTATAGGTGTATGTTTGGAGCGCGGAACTGTAAGGGTGTCAAACATGGAGAACATGGTTAGAAACGTTCGAATTGTGGTGTTACCGGCAAATGATGAGAAAACAGTGGATAGAGAAGGTTAGGGTCTAAGGGCCGTCGTGTGTTGGTGTTGCTTCCTAACGTTTTACCAGCACAAGTTGCGAGCTTCTTCAGAAGACTACATCCGGCATCTGAAATGGAAGAGCCTCTAAAAGTGGCAAAAATTGACCCTTCCTTCAACGCATAGATTGACCTTTCAGCGAATAAAAAAGTAGTAGTAACAGTGACGTTTCTCCATAACGTAAGCTTACGATTGCGTCAAAGCAACTAGCCGTATCTTATCTCATGAGTTTATGCCGAATATTGGCATATAAACACGTCCAATACATTAATAAATATTCCTATTAAATGGTAACATTGTGGATATCGAATGTATTAGGCTACTTACTTAGTTTCATTCTTTTTCATCATTTAAACTCAACTTCTGCTTTCATTTGTGGGGAATAGGGAAATCTTTTACTTTCATTTAGTTCTAAAACTCTGCGCAAAAGCTTATTGTAATTTATAAATTATAATGTGTTAAGAATCCTTGAGGTACTTCCATATTTTTAATAATTTGACGACTGTTCACGCCATTTACTGCGATTTGCACACAAAAGAATCGTATATTTATTTACTTTCAGCAACTTCGCTCTGTATCACGTCTCGAAATGACGTCATGCGCGTGCGAGACCGATTTGGGTCGGCGGAGTAAAATGAAAACGAAGCAGTGTTCACAGCACCTATAGTGTGTGTGACTATAATATGTCACAGTACATAATAATGACGGCATATACTGAAATGCAGCCACATTAGTGACCTTTTTCTCTAATAACGTAAACTATAGGCTATTGTCAAACAAAATTGTCTTTTAAATTTAGTTGAAGGGCTGCAGTAAAAGTAGTGGAGCGATCTCCATTGAGGTAATTTTCTTATAGATAAACTTTTGTAGAGTAATCCTTCATCTTTGCAAATGTTATTAATAAAATTACTTCAATGTATATAAATAATGAATTTGACACTGTAGCAAAAAGTCATCGTAGCCTTGCTGAATCCACAGCACTTAAAAAAGAATGTTTAGGAACAAATGCACAACAAACAATCTTCATTGATAACATTTTCAATAAACCTAAGTCACTTTCTTTTTATGTCAGGAAACGAGTAAGATATGATTCGATTTATTCACTTTATTAATTAGCAAGACTAAAATACTCAAACGATTTTCAATTTTAGATCAAATGTTACAGCAAAAAGATAATTATATTAAGTACTTTTTTTTGTAACTAAACAATATAATTCAATTTATTTGTAATTGTTTTATAATACTTATTTAGTAATCATATAGAGAGAAATGCAGCAGATTAATTTAACATGTTTATTTTGAACACCTTTTACAAAATGATAACAGTCACTATTTTCTGATTAAAAGATATTAATAAAATAAATAGATATCATAACATACATACTGTAATAATTTAACATATTGAATAGTGAAAATGCCTATAGAACTAAATCAGTCTTTCAATTTTCTAAATAACAAAGATGCCTAGTACAAAATTAATGATGTTTATGTTCGAAAACGACGGATTTACCCTCTGATTTAACATGTTCGTGTCTCCATTGGGAGCTGGTTGCAGGTTCATGATGATGGGATTCGTGCTTGGTCTCTTCATGATGGTATTCTTTCTTGACTGATTCAACTTGTTCGTGTCTCCATTGGGAGCTGGTTGCAGGTTCGTGATGATGGGATTCATGTTTCTCTTCATGGTGGTATTCTTTCTTGACTGGAACTTCAATTTTGATAGAAATGGGCTCTTCATGCTTTACGATCTTCTCCTTTCTCCATTCGCTGACTTTGGCAGACGAGGTTTCTTTCTTGGTTGGGTGAGCGACAGCTACGGCCAATAAGGCAGCTAAAACCAAAAACTTGAACATTTTAATAAAATAAGTTTGTATTGCTTCGACTTGAGCAGAAAGTAAAGTGATACTTTGTCGTTGTTTTTTAGCCTTTTTATACGAAATCATAGATCGAAAAAACGGTATGTAGAGTTAATTATAATACTTCTTAGAATGTTTATATTTAAACCAGGCAATAAACCTTACAAGTACATAAACTTTTACTTGCTAACACATCATTACCATCACTCGGTACTTAGGGAAGCAATTAAACTGGTATTAAAAAAATGTTTTTAATGGAATAACTGTAACATAATATTCTTTTTGGAAAGTATGTTATTTGGCAAATGCAAAAGAATGTATCTCGTTCTGTAATAGGTTCATGAATCGATTTTTTACAATCAGGTGACAATAAGTAAATGAAAATCGTAAACAAATTAAAAAATACATTTTGTAAGTGATTTTGTAAAAGGTATTTATTTGATAATTGGACGACTGTCTATATGATTAAGTTCTTAACTATTCAATTTTTATTAAACGCGTTAACTTAGATAAAATAAATATCTAACAATCAAATGTTTCAGGTGAATTTTCATCAATTTTGCCCACATGTGTAATTCTGGTGGCAATACAAAAGAAAGCAAAAAACTAAAAAACTACTGCGTAAAAAGCCAATTACAAATACCAAAAAAAGATCTAGGTATGAATATACCTAAATGAAAAATTTGTAAAAAATAACCCAATTAAATATGATAAATAATTTCAGTCGCTGGCATACATGCAGCAGGCGTTTTGCCTCCGGCATTAAGGTTGAGTAATTATTATACAGAGCTTACGGCTATAAAATAATATAGGAGATATTAAACTGATTTAGAAAGATCTATTCACTGATTTTTTACTCAGTATGGTAAGCATTTTTTTTTTTATTTACTGCCATTATGCAGAATAGATTGTTGGAGTACAAAACATTTTGTTGGTAAATGTAATTCGAAAAAAAGATGTACTAAATATACTAGGAAGCATAATTCGATGCTTCACATGGAAACAAGCAATTATTTTTCTGATAAACCGCCATCTAAAAATAGTAGTACTTTCCTTGTGAATTCTGAGGAATCATCAAATAGTTCTGCATTGCTCATTGCACTTCTTGCTGGCAACATCACAAGCCGATCCTTTCTCAAAGTCTTCGATTTTATCAAAAGTTATAATTAATTGTTGTCAAGTATAGATGTACAGGAAGGTACAACATCCCAAGCTATTGGGGAGTCATGTCAAAACCAAACTCAGACTACGAATATATTGATAGATCCTGAAACTAACCAAGAAGTTTCAGCCCCAAACAAAAATAAAACAAAACAATGAAAAGAAGTTCTAATTGAAGGGTACTCAAGATTTCTTGTTTAATGTTCCCCCAGGTAGGGCAAGCTAGGACAGAAGCAGAAGACCTTATTTTAAACATACAAATCACTGATATCCTCTCCACAATGCACACTATCAAACTTACAGACTGCTCGGTCAAACACCATCAGAAAGTCAGCTCATGCCGATTTCAAGATCACCTCGATGGGTCAACATTTAACGTTTAAGAGAGAAGAACTAGTAGTTTGGAAATCACCTAAAGCAGCTGTTGGATTCAAGTAAATAAACTATTGATTAGAAATCATACAACTTTTTGGTGTGGTGTTATAAGGGGATGTTAAAGATGTTGTGGCTACAGAAACTAGAAATGGGATGGCATTAGAACGAGTAGAAGAAGAAAGGATACTATGAAAATCACAAAGAAATAATTGAAAAGGAATGTGTAGGTACCTGATGTTCAAAAAACTCCATCTGCATATTAATCTTTATTGACCTTTAACAACTAGATGAGCTTATAAATACTATTATTACACTCAATTAATAATTTCTTAATACTGATATTTGGTAAAAAACACTTTTTAAAAACTTTCACTCAATTTTTATTAAATTCTTAAGTTTCGACCTACAAGACCATCTTCAGAAGAAGGATTAATTACTAGGAAACAGCGTTCAAAAAGCTCAATAATTTACGGCTAAACGCGGCAGCAGCTTTTACATAATAAAAAGTTTTTCGCCTTTTTTTTGTTTTGAGTTTTTGATGAATGCTATTCAGTAAGCTTCTGGTTACATTTTCTGAATTTTTAAGTTTATATGACGTCATATTTAAGGTTAATTCAGTTTCTCGATCTTTTATCAATAAAATTTTTGTATTGATATTTAATATCATGAGTTTTAATTTGAAATAATTTTTTCGATTTTTTTTATTTACCCAGTACAAACTACCTCAAATTAATGAGGGAAAAATTGTTGCTGTTGTCACGCCCCCGTCGGGAATCGAATCCGGGACCCTTGTTCAGAAATTGGTGCGAAAAGCCAAAAAAGAGAAGCCAAAAAAAATTGAAAAAATAATTTCAAATTAATATTGCATATTAATCCACTATTAAGTAACTAACAATGTCATAGAATTTCATATATTTAATCATGAGTTTTGTTGTAAACTTTAAGGCAAAATACAAATTTATTAGTTTATTTCACTTTATTGATTTAAAACTTCTTATGTATTATTCAAAAAATGATCAATTGTTTTTTATTTCACAGTTTCCGTCTATTTTTGTAAATCAATTCTACAGCACCAGTTTATATTTTTTGCTTTTTAGATTTAAATAATTCACATTTTGTGTAGATAACCTTCGTATTACAATTACTTTTTAAGTAATTAGAGTTATTGTTTAACTGTGTACGTAAAATTTATTGTTAACTATTAAAAGTAACTTAAAAGGAACTTAATTGTTACGTTTTGGTTCAACCAAGAAGTAAATGTTTCTGCATTTAATTATTTTAATTTTAATATGGGTGAGCGCAATTGATTTCAACGATAGGTCAAGCGACGAACCTATTCAACTTGAAAGTTGTCCATTTAGTTTTGAACGTATTAATTTGTGGTTCACATAGGTAATAATATAAATAATAGCTTTTGAATGACAAAACAAGTTTTGTGAGGAATATTTTTCAAGACACCCTGGTTTCCTTCACAAAAAATGTTTTTGTTGTATGTCAATATTTTATTGCTTTCTCAGGGCGAATTAGAATTCGGTTAGTTTTAGATGTAACATACATACGTAGTATATCTTGATACATTCATAATGGTAAATTAAAATAAAAATTAATACATTTATACATATACAACATGGGTAAATTGGTAGGCAGTCCGGCCGAATCATTATTTACTGTGAGATGCTTGCTTAATAAATGAACGGAAAAGATAAGTTTTTTAGAATTTCTTATTCCAAATCACATTTAAACATAAAAGATGTATAGGCCTGACGCTGGAAGCTGGCGGAAATTTTAAAATGGCGTGGATGCGCGGTGGCAAAAGTAAGCAGTTTTAGGTATAAAGATTGCAGCCCTCATTCTTCAGTATTCCTTTCAGGGGCGTAGATTAAATATTTAAAAATAGGGATCAGTGAGCAAGTAATAAACAGACAAACAGAAGAACTAATTGTTGATGTTGGTGACAGTGATAGAGATTCCCATGATGAGAGTGAATGTGAAAACTAACTATAGAACAAAAGCAATAGGTTTATTTTTTCTTTTTGATAAGTCATGTTTTTACATTATTTTCTAGTAGTAGTACGCTACTGTCCTATCTGTATTAATACTATAATTTACGCCTACTTAAAGCTTATTTGTGTATCGGTTCCAAGTGACTTACCCAAATAGGTCATAAATGGGCAAGTACCTGCGCGACCGCTCGCCAGCTTCCTTCGTCAGACCTGTACCATTTTTGCATCCGACACTCTAATGCCTTTACAGCAAAATGCGAAACGTTAGTATTGGTTTAGGTAGGAAGCCCCTTCATACCTCTATACATGTATTAATATTAAGCCTAAATGCCTAAGAGTCAAGTAGTCGAGACACGCATTTACAAAGTCTGTATCTCGATTACACTTACATAAATAGTTAGGTAATAATAATGTAATTACAATAAGTTATGTAAGATATACATTAATAAGAATTTTTGCTCTTAACCACGCTGTTGAACTCACTGTACGATTGTTTATTACATCTTGTTTACACCTTCGAAATCTCGGCACTTATTTATGTTACACCTTGTATAGTTCTCATGCTGCAATTAGAACGTTTTTTACTTTTAAGTGAGAATGATTTAATAGATACATATGCAAATTTGTGTTTTTAAACTTACTCGTATCCAGTTATTTAGGTTTACATATTTTACAATATCTATTCATACTTTGGAAAAAATTATATTTTTACCCGACTGCGTCACACGGAAGGTTATGTTATTCGAGTGCATGTATTTGTTACCGGAAATGTATGAAATGTAGAAATTTTATGCAATTCCTAGGAAATTCATACAATTAAAAAATCTTTGAAACAATATTTTATACATTTCCTAGGAATTGTATACAATTCCTACATTTCATACATTTCTGGTAACACATTCTGTTTCGTGGCTCCGTCGGTGGAGAATAAATTTGTGAGACTGTGTATGCGTTTAGAACTTTATTTAACATTTAAACAGTAACAAAAGGATAGTGCTACATGTGAGTCCTATGAAGTTGGACACAGTACTGCCTGCCCTTTCCCGACCCAAACCAATAAAAGCTTTTCCGCTCATAGAAACAGGTAACCGGTTGCTTGGCGAGACAGGTAAAAAATAAATTGAGAAGTTCATAGATCTAGTGACTAAATGCATTAAACACATTCATATATTTGTTGGCACACTCTGTAGTCTACAGGGCTTGACGGATTTTAGCTTGAGAGGTGTCATGAGATTAATCTTAATTGCGAGAATGACAATAGGTACATCAAAATTATAAAAATTAAAATGACCGATTTTTGGCACCATATTATGATTTAAAAAAACCTTCACATGCGACACTATGTACAAAAAAACGAAATATTGACTCAAAAGTTTCCTTTGATCTTTTGACAAATCTTTTCAACAAAATGAAGAAACGAGAGAGATTTGGTTTAGGAAATATGCCTTTTTATGTCCC